GCTGGGCTAAAAAACTACAACCCAACAATATGTATCCAAATTCAATATGTGTTGGCCTCACTGGTAGACACAGACAGATGCAAAGGATGGGAACCAATTTGCTGTGCTAATGAAAGCCCAAAACAAGCTGATGTCTGAGAAATAAACTTCAAGCCAAAATGATAAGGTTCAAAAGGTCACTCCAAATTAAAGGAATAATTAAGCAAGAAGATGTAATAAGCCAGATGTGATGGCCCATGCCTTTAATCTCAGTACTCAGGAGGTAGAGGTGACAGATCAAGGCCAGCCTGGTCTACAGAGCAAATTCCAAGACAGCCAAGGCTACACACACACACACACACACACACACACACAAAAAAAAGCCCTGACTCAAACAAACTAAAAACAAGATTAAACAGTTACATATGTGCCAAATGTTGGGGCTTCTGATTTCATAAGATGACAGCACAAATCATGTGGATCCTGGATAACAGTGGGTACTTTTAACATCCCACTCCCAGTCTGGGGATTGTGGCTCAGTGGTTAGGGTGCTTGCCAACAATAACAAAGCTTAAAGTCTCAAGCACTGCATATGCTGGACATGGTGGTACACACTTAGAATTATAGTGTCCCAGAGGTGGAAACAGTAGGACAAGGGGCCAGTGAAGATGACGTAGCTGTGTAAGGGCACTGGCTGCTCTTGCAGAGCAAGACTCCAGTTCCATTTCCAGCATCCATACGGCAGCTCACAACTGTCCCTCCACTCCCAGGAGATATAGTGCCCTTTTGTGAGTCCAAGGGCAACAGGTATGTATATGGTACACCGATATACATGCAGACAAAACACATAAACTGAAAATAAATAGCGAAACAGTAATCAGAGAATCAGACGTTCATCCTGGCTAGGCTATGGTAAGTAAGTCTATCTCTGAAAACTTCTCCCAAAAAGTACGGCATGGAGCATCCCAGCAATTGTGAGGCCGAGTCAGGCAAATCTTTTAACCCAAGGCTGGCTTGGTCTACATGGTTTGAGAGCAGCCAGGCCTGAGTACTTGTCTCAGTGAGAACCTATCTGAGGAAAAAAAAAAAAAAAAAAAAATCAAGTCTCCCAACAAAGAAAAGCCCAGGATCAGATAGATGCATGATTCACTGTTCAACTCTACCAAACTTTTTTTTTAAGAGACAGGGTCCCTGTATGAAGTCCTAGGTGTCCTGGAACTCTTTGTAAATCCAATCTGTTTGCCTCTGCATCTCCAGTGCTAGGATTAAAGGTGTATGCCACCACACCTGGTTTGCTGTCTTTTTTTTTTTTTTTTTAATTTATTTTATTTTATTTTGAGACAGGGTTTCTCTGTGATTTTGGAGGCTGTCCTGGAACTAGCTCTTGTAGACCAGGCTGGTCTCAAACTCACAGAGATCTGCCTTGCCTCTGCCTCCCGAGTGCTGGGATCAAAGGTGTGTGCCACCACCACCTAGCTTAATTTACTATTTTTTAAGATGTATTTTTTTTTTTTTTTTTTTTTATGTGCAGTGACGTCTCTCCTGTTCATGTGAGGGTGTTGGATCCCTTGGAACTAAAATTACAGACAGTTGTGAGCTGCCATGTGGGTGCTGGACATTGAACCTGGGTACTCTGGAAGAACACCCAGTGCTCTTCACCACTGAGCCATCTCTCCAGCCCTTTTGTTTTGTTCTTAAAATTTTATTTTTAGGGGCTGGAGAAAAGGCTCAAGAGTTAAGAGCACTAGGTGCTCTTCCAGAGGACCTGAATTCAGTTCCCAGCAACCACATGATGGCTCATAGCCATCTATAGTGGGATCTGATGCCCTCTTCTGGCCTGTAAGTGCACATGAAGATAGAGCACTATATACATATAAAATAAATACTAGAAAAAAAGAATTTATTTTTTAGGAGCCATGCAGGGTGGCATATACTTTTAATACCAGCACCTGGGAGGCAGAAGCAGGCAGATCTCTGTGAGTACAAGGCCAGCCTGGTTTACAAATTGGGTTTCAGGATAGCCGGGGGGGGGGGGGGGGGGGACACGGGACTTACTTTAAGTCCATTGGTGTTTTGCCTGCATGTATGTCATGTGAAGGTGTCAGATCCCCTGGAACTGGAATTACAGACACCTGTGAGCTGCCATTGACCCTGGGTCCTCTAGAAGAGCAAGTAGTGCTCTTAACCACTAAGCCATCTCTCCAGTAACAAACAGTATACATACACTACTAACATATACTACCAAGCCAACATTCTCTTGATAACAAAACCAGAACCACACAGACACAATGAAAAAAGACAGCTAGAAAGCAGTTCCTTTCATGAACATAGATTTAAAAGGCCTCCATATTCTTAGAAGTAGAGGTAAAGACCATATTCAAAACATTACAAGCTACAATCAAGTTGGTTTCATTGCAGGGATGTGAGGTTAGTTTAGCCCATGCAGGTCAGCAAGTGTAACAGAACATACTTAGACTTAAGGACAAGTCACATGGTCATGTTAATTCGGGAAAGATGTTAATTCGGGAAAGACCTTCAGCATCCTTCATGATAGAAGCCCTGTGCAAACGTGTGATAGAAGGACAATACTTCAACATAATAAAGTGTTTGTTGACAAACCTAAAGCTGACACTGTCCTAAATGGAAAGAACCTGAGTTATTTCCCCTAGGTTTTTTGTTTGGTTGGTTTGGGGGGAGGGAGGGGTTGTTTTGTTTTGTTGGTTGGTTGGTTATCTGAGACAGGGCAGTCCTAGCTGTCCTAGAACACGCTCCCACTCACTGAGCTCCACCTACCTCTGTCTCCCTAGTGCTGGCCTTAAACTCATATACCACTTCCACTGGCTTTGTTTTTAAAACAGGGTCACACTATGGAGCCTTGACTGGCCTAGGACTGTTTATGCAGACCAGGGTGGTTTCAAACTCATAGAGATCTGCCTTGATTTGCCTCCTGAGTGCTGGGATTAGTGGTGTTTGTTACTACCCCCAGCTCAATATACCTTTTATATTAAAAAACTGGAGAAATAGTTCAGTGAATAAAGCACTTTCCACTAAGCCTCAGAATCCATCCACATGGTGAAATTTTGAGACAACCACTTATACATACACAAATAAATGTTTTTGTTTTTTGTTTTTTTAACTTTTAGGCAGACAGTAGTGGTGCACACCTTTAATCCCAGCACTCACACTCGGGAGACAGAGGCAGGCAGACCAGCCTGGTCTATAAGTGCTATCCAGAACAGCCTCCAAAACACAGAGAGACCCTGTCTCAAAAAAACAGAAATAAAAACAGAAAAACAAATCAGGCAGGGTGGTAATGCTTGTAACCTCAGCATGTGGAGACTTCAACACCATCCTCAGCTACAGAGCAGATTTGAGGCCAGCTTGGGCTACATGAGTCCGTGCTTAAAAATAAATGAGGACACAAATAATAACATGTGTTGCAGAGGATGTAGGGGAAGAGCAGCCCTTCAGCCCTTAGACGTTGCTGATAGGAATGTAAACCTGTACAACAAGGATGGAGCTTTAGTGGGAAAAAGTATAACCCAGTAGTACCACTCTTAGCTTTATTCCCAAATAGCTTCTTTAAAGGTGTGTGTGTGTGTGTGTGTGTGTGTGTGTGTAAGTGTAAGTTCTCTCTGGAGGCCATATGAAGGCATTGGGTTCCTTGGAACCACCTAAATAGTGAGACCTTTTGTCAAATAATGAAATAAAAACAAACTCAACCAGTTATATTGACTCAGTATATGTTGCTGTAATCCCAGGACTCAGGAGGTTAAAGCAGAAAAATTGGAGCTAATTCAAGGCCCTTGTACTGAGTTCTCTCTGCAGCTTGGTGAGGCCTTAGCTCAAAACAGTAAAATAAAACAAAACAAAAAAACCAAGCAACTAATTCCCTCCATCCAAGGGGAAAATACCCATCTGAATCTCAGGTCTTGGCACCTCTAAGTGTATGTCTTTGTCTCCGACTGCCCATTGTTACCTTCTTACTCTTGACCCCTGCTCTTTCTTCTTCTAGGCCGATCGTCGATACCAGAGCCGGCTGCAGGATCTTAAAGACCGCTTGGAGCAGTCTGAGAGCACCAACCGCAGCATGCAGAATTATGTCCAATTTCTCAAGTCCTCCTATGCCAATGTATTTGGGGATGGCCCCTATACATCCTCTTACCTGACGAGCTCACCCATCCGCTCCCGGTCTCCCCCAGCCTGAGGCTACCTGTCCAGGGTCTAAAGCCCTTGCCTGATGCCAGGAACTGAGGAGTTGCCATCCTGTAGCTGGCAAGCCCACTGGCTTTCTCTTCTAGTGATCAAATGTGCTCAGGGTCTGTTTCTCCACTCCTAATCCCAGGAAAGCCCCCCAGAGCAGCTGGGGATGAATCAGGAAGAACATAGTTCTCTTTCCTTGTCTGTGAGCCTGGTGGGATTTGAAATGGTCTTCATGGGCCTTATATTTGTTACATTAGGTACCAGATTTTAAAATCCTTGTGATTTTGCAGAGTCTGTTTCCTTTCCTCAGGGAATGCAGGATGGACTTTCCCTGCAGTCTCCTTCCAGCCCTCATTTTCCCTGCATCCATGGCTTGGGTTTCTCTGAGCTGAAGTAGCAGGAGTCCTCTTGGACCGTGATACACCTAAATCACCCTATCCTTTTTTTTTTTTTTTTAATTTGTTTTATTTTTACTAAAAAAACCCCAAAACTTTATTTGTATCAAGAAATAGTGAAATCAGATAAATTAGTAACTGAGTGAGTCTCTGCTTTTATCAGAATATAAGGGTGTAACATCTTCTGGAGTGATTAATGGTCACAGCTCCCTTTGCTCCTTTGGAGTTTGTAGCTACAAACATCATGAAATGGAGTAGTCACAGCTACACCAGTGAACTATGAATTGTTGCAGCATAAAGCTAACACTGGCCAGTGTGCTTATATCAATGTGTTCTGTTTCCACGGTGCTGTTTACACTTTAATTAGAAAAAGAAAAAAAAAAAAAAAAAACAAACTTTAATTCACCACCTCTTAACGGCATAGAAAATATGCACTACTTCAGGAATTTTTGTGTTACCCTTGAGCAGACACCATGCTAATCTTCTCTGTATTGTTCTTCTGTTACTATATGTGCTGCTGAAATGAGCGCTACTTTTTTCTTCTTGGTGTAGGGCAGGAATTGCTGTTTTCTGCAGTGCCAATGGAAACCTCCCATGTCTGCCTTTCCTACAGGCCACTTGTCCCCAGCCACTTCACAGAAGCTAATGTCTATCTCGTTGCTTTTCTTTTCTCTTTGTATCTCTGGAATTCACTTATTTTTGAAATTTTTGTGTGATTTTACTGGAAATAAAGTTTTTATAATCAGTTATTTAAAACTCCTTTGCTTTCCTTTATCATTCTCTCCTTTAAAAAAGATTTAGCTTGAAAAAAAAAAAGTTGTTTTTGTTGGGTGGTGCCATACAACTTTAATCCCAGCACTTGGGAGGGGCAGGCAGATCTCTATGAGTTCCAGGCCAGTTTGATCTACAGAGTGAGTTCCAAGTCAGCCAGGGCCACACAGAGAAACCTTATCTTGAAAGAAACAAAAAAAAAAAAAAAAAAAAAAAAAAAAAAGATTTAGTTGAGTGTGGTAGTGCATACCTGTCATCTGAAGACTTGGGAGGTGGAGGCTAAGAGTTCAGTGTTCTCCACAGCTACAGTGTGAGTTGAAGTCAGCCTGGGTTACATGAGACTATGTCTGAATAATATTTAATAAAATGCATATGAATTAGGTGGTGTTGGTGCTCGCTTTTAATCCCAGCACTCCTGAGGCAGAGGCAGGCTGATCTTTGTGAATTTGAGGACAGCCAGGTCTATAAGCCATCTGATAGATGAAGGCAAGGCACTTTGTCAGGCATTACTATTCAGGGTTTGGGAAGGATCACCTTAACAGGATAGACAGGTGTGGGATGCGCCTATATTTGTGTTAAATGCTATCTGCTTTCTACATGATCAGATGTTGGGCCATTTTATATTTTCTAGTATTTGAAAGAATGGTATGGAGTATGTGCTTAGTATGTGCACATGCGCAAGAACGTATGGTTTTGCTTTTGGTTAATTTTTAAGTTGGACTCATGTATTTTATGTGTAAACAGCTTATGTGTGTGTATATATGCTGTGTAACTATGTTGTTGGTGCTCTCTGAGGTGAGAAGAGAGCGTCAGAGTTCCTGATACTGGAGGTATGGATGGTTGAGAACCACCATGAGTGCAGGAATTGAACCCAAGTCTTCTGTAAGAGCAGCAAGTGCTCTTAACAACCCAAGGGCCGAGGTTTGATTTGCAGGATCCCTTTCCCATCACCACCATCACCAACCAAAGCCTACAAATGATACAAAACAAAGCATGTTCTTCAGAGAGATCACTTAAAACAAAGAACCATTGATCTTATTTCTAGGCTTGACTTTTCTCTTGTATTTCTATTGCTAGAATAAAGCAAAAAGACCAAGGCAACTTATGAAAGAATGTAGCATGAAAAATAAAAGACTGATTCAATCTTTTGTAGCCCTGGGTGGCCTTGAACTCAAGAGATCCATCTGCCGTTGTCTCATGAATCCTGAGATTAAAGGTATACGCTACCACTGCCTGATCTCTATAGCTTCAGGCTGACATTGCTTTCTGAATCCTTAGGCAAGCTTTAATAAATCATAAATAATATATCACCACAAAAAGTGTTTAATTTGGCCAATTGATTCAGAGGGTTAGAGTTCATAATTGTGGACTAAATAGCAGAGAGGTAACATGTAGATCCTCACCCCCAAGGCAGAGAGGGAACACTAGGAACCACAGGAGACTTTAAAAAGCTCCAGGCCTGCCCCAGTGACATCTGATTCTTCCCAAACCATTCCACCAACAGGGGACCTAGTCATGCCTATGGGGGCAATTCTCATTCAAATTAGTACAGCATCTCAGCCACTCTAACCCATCTCAGCCACTCTAACCCAAGTCTAAAACTCCAGAGATTGAGGCTAGAGAGATATTTCAATGGTTAAGAGCCCTTGTTCTGGTTGTCTTGAGGCAAAAATTACAAAGCAAAACCCCTCTTGCTGCTCTAGCAGAGGACCTTGAATTTATCAAGTGGCCTGGAGACATACTGTTCTGGCCCTCATCAGGAAGCAATTCACAACCTCCAGAAACTCACATCAACTACTGGGACCTTCTATTACTCTGGCCTTAGAAGGCCCCTACACTCAAATGTGGTCAGATTTTCTTTGGACTTCCAGTTCCCAAATAAACAGACTTCCTAATACTTGGCCTTAGCTTGGGCTTTTTCACAACAAGCTCTTTTAACCTGTTTCTATTAATCTACATTCTGTCCCATGGCTCATTACCTCTTCTCCATACTGTATGTCCAACTCCTCCATGTCTGGCTGGAGAAAATCCACATGCCTCAGATTCTTCCTGAATTCATTTCTCTTCTTGGGAATCCTGCTCATCTCCTGCCTTGCTATTGGCCATTCAGCTCTTTATTAAACCAAATCAGAAGGCACCTTAGGGCAGTGTACAAAAAGGTTATTCCACAACACTCATGTGTACCTTTACACACATGTTGAAAACAAATATATTCTTTGAGACAGGATCCTACCATATAGCATCTGGATGACCTGGAAATCATTATGTAGACCAACCTGATCTTCAAACCACAGAGATCCCATTACTGCCTCCTATATGCTCACACAAAAGGCATGTGTTGCCATGCCCTGGCTCCTAAACATTTCTCAAGGAAGAACAGTTGGCAAACAGACCAACATGAACATTTGTATGTGTGTGCATGTGTGAGGTTTTTTTTTTTTTTCCCCTAAACCAGTGTAACCATGTCTGCACCATGGAATTGAGCTGTGTAACTGCTGTTTTTATGGAAGTGACTTGCAGTCCATTCCTTGGAATATCTATTTGTTTTTGTTTTTTTCTAAGAAAGAGTTTCTCTGTGTAGTCCTTGCTGTCCTAAAACTCACTTTGTAAACCAGGATGGCCTCAAACTCAGAGATCTGCCTGCCTCTGCCTCTTAAGTGCTTGTAAGGGAAAAGGGCCAGCCAAAGAAACACACTTTAGTCCTGCAACCAGAACCAAAGAAATGCACCCTGACCCTGAAACCAGTGCCAAAGAAACACACTTTGTCCCTGGAATCAGAACCAGTGAAAGAAATACACCCTGGCCCTAAAATTAGAGCCAAAAGGCTGAAAAGGACCAGTGAAAGAAACACACTTTGGCTCTGAAATCTGAGCAGAAAACCAACCAATCCCTGAGCAGGAGATCTAGCCAATTTGAGCTCAGGGACTGAAATCCGACCAATCCCCATATCCTGGAAATATCTTCCTGGAAAGCTCCGCCCCTAAGAAGCCCGATATAAACCCTGTGCTTGTTCAGCTTATGGCACTCAGGCTGCTTGGCTGTCTCTGCCACCCTGGAATGGAACTGAGGAAAGAAGTAACTTTTTGCTGGAGCCAGAGCAGATAGAGTGGAGCAGAGCTGTAACACTTTCTCTGGAGAAGCAGAGTTGTTAAAATGATGTGTGTGTGTGTAAGACACACTACACAACAACCTGAGCCAAACTGTAACAACTGCTGGGAAACCCCTCCCCTAACCTTCCCTTCCTGCCAGAGCAGAGCTGTTACACTGAGGAAACCTTTCCCTGGAGGAGGGCTATAAACTGCTGGGTATTCCTTGGCTCCAGAATGCCAGAATACCTTTCCATCAGAGCTATGATACTCAGTATTCTTTGGCTCCTGAGTGCTAGAATCCCTATCCAGCCAATCTGTTGAAATGCTTACAGTGCTGGGATTGAAGGTGTGTTTTGTAAGACCCTCAGAATGAGGAGTCTTCCAAGTTCGGTCGATACCCCAAGAACTCAATGTCCAGTCCAGTTGCTGCAAAACGCAAGAGGCTTTAATGAACAGGAAACGTTTGCTCAAATGGGCTCCTCCAGCATGCAGGCTAGAGAGAAGCCCCCTCCACTGGGCCCAGGTGTTTTTAAAGGCAAACCCACTAGCTTAGGGAGGGGGTGGGACCCTCTGTTCATTGAGTACGTGACCCTTGGAGGCTGGATGGTCTTGCTATTAGGGTCAGCAGACCTTAGGGCCTCAGGGTGTGCTAATTAATCTTGCTGGACAAACCAGAGTTACAGCTATCTCTTTGTTCCTAAGGACTCTATTTACCACCTGTTGACTCACAGGAAAGGAGGGGCAGTGTGAATTCTTCTTATCTCAGGGCCTTGTGAGAGGAAGCTAGCAAATTCCAAGGAACAGATATTGGTTTCCAGGTTAGTCCCTCATTAACATTACTTTTTAGGTCTTTCAGTATCACCACACTCAGGTCATTTCTGAGACTCTTGTACTAACCTTTGTAAAATATTTTATTCAACATTTTATAAATGTAAAAAAAATAACAAAGTATGTACATGTGTGCCATTGCATGTCTGGTGTCAGAAGGTCCCAGAAAGAGGACAATGGATCCACTGGAGCTGAAGTTTCTGTCGTTGTGAGATGCCATGTGGGTACTGGTAACTGAACCACTGTTCTCTGCAAGAGTAGTAAGCCCCTTTTTTGGGGAGGGGGTTCGAGACAAGGTTTCTCTGTGACTTTGGAGGCTGGCCTGGAAGTAGCACTGTAGACCAGGCTGGCCTCGAACTCACAGATATTCTCCTGCCTCCATCTCCCGAGTGCTGGGATTGAAGGTGTGTGCCAACACCGAGGTGCAACTTGTTGCTTTTCCTTAACAAAATACTTTCAAGGTCTATGTTACACAATGTACCATTATTTGCTTGGGACAGGGGAAGAATTCCATTGTTCTTCACAGAATAATTTACCAATTCAGGAGATTACCATTTGGAGGCTTGCACATTATTATTAACGCCTGTATGAATATTCATGTACTACATTTAGTGCAGACGCATTTCATTACTCTAGTGTAGCCCTATAAGAAATGATAGCTCCGTTTAGCTTCTCCAGAACTGTCAGTCTCTTACAGCAGGGGCCTTACGTTGCTATGAGCACAGCCTCATTACCGCTTTCTTGCACGCACAACTGCGCAGGCGCAGGTGTTGTTGTATGGGCGGTGCGCCGCTGACGGGCGGTGTCTGCGACCGTTATGGGCGGGGCTGCGCCGGATATGGGGCGGGAATCCCGGAAGCGGAGTCCTGTCCCTTCTCGGCGGCGGATTCGAGGGTTTGTTTTGTTGGTAGAGCTTTCTGATGCGCTGCTGTTGACTCGCCATGCCGTCGGAGGGTCGCTGCTGGGAAACTCTAAGTGCGCTGCGGAATTCCAGCAAAGGCCGCCTGCGCTACCACCGCGAGTGGCTGATGCACTACGAGGTGAGCGCCCGCCGTCGGCACGCGTTCCACACTCTCCCTCGAGGCGGGTGCGGAGGACCTGGCGTGGCGATGGGCCGCATTGTTTTTGTAACTCTTGCGCACACAGCTTTCTTCAGCCTGTTCTACTTGATCTACGGCCCCACCACTTCACGGGAAGCCTGCGCAAAGGCATCACGGTCACCCCAGTCCTGGGTGCGGCATCTTGTCAGCAGTTCTGGCTTCTCAGTCTCTCCGTCTGCTTTTTATTCCACTTGCTAGGACAGTGGTTCTCAGCCTATGGGTCTCGACCTCTGCATTACGATCTGTAACAGTAGCAAAATTACAGTGAAGTAGCAGCGAAAATAATTTATTGGGGTCACCACTACATGAGGAACTGTATTTTAAGAGTCGCAGCATTAGAAAGGTTGAGAACCACTTCACGGAGCTCCAGGTTTCTGGGAGAGAGGTTGATTTGACCTAACTCTAGCTGCCAATGGAATGACCACCTTTTTATATTACTAGCAGACTTCTAAGGGGGCGGGGGCGTGGTTCCTATAAGTAGTATTTGCAAAGACCTTCTGTGGAATACTGTTGGTTGCCTTTCTAATTAATGATACACATTTGCCCACTCACTGCCTGAATTTATATGTATTATGGGCTTGAACAACCATACCCAGTGTGAGGATACCTTTGGATTCCAAACTAATGATGCACTGATGGTGTACATGATAGTTTACCTGAAACTTTCTCATGGGCTGTATTTTGTTTGATGTTTTAGATTGCTTTCATATTTGCCTTAGTGAGGATCAGTGAGATGGCTCATCTAGTAAAGGCACTTGCTACACGAGCCTGGAGACATGAATTCAACCCCTGAGACCTATGTAAAGTTGGACGGAGAGAACAAACTTCAATTAAGTTTTAGAAATTTGCTTGAATGTATGTTTACACATTGTTCCTTTTGGGCAGTGATTGCCAACCTTCCTAATGCTGCAACCCTTTAATACAGTTCCTCATGTAGTGACCCCAAACCATAAAATTATTTTGTTACCGCTTCATAACTATAATTTTGCTACTGTGATGAATGTCAATATAAATATGTGATATGCAAGGTGTCTGATATGTGACCCCAAAGGGGTTGTGACCCATGGGTTGAGAACTGCTGCTTTTGGGAATGGGTAATTGAAAGTCTTTTGTGACTGACTTGCTTTGAACTCCTGCCACTACTTCCATAGTGTTAAAGTTAGAGGCATGTGCCAACCCTTCTGACTTTAGTCTGACATTTTAAAGAAGTTCAGTCTGGGTCCTCATTAAGAATCCACTTACTCTGATGAGGTAGCTCTGTGGGTAAAGTTGGCTGCTGCATAAGCTTAATGACTAAATTCAATTCTCAGAACCTGTGTAAAAGTGGATACAAGGGCTGACTCTGAAGTTATTCTTTGACCTCCACATGTACACTGGCACATGAGCCTACACACACTAATAGTAATAATAAAGTCTAAAATTAGACACTATTGCTGGGTACAGTGGCTTATAATCTCAGAGCTTCCTGAGTGGAAGCAGGAGAGTCAGTTCAAGGTGTCTCAAATGCAAAAAGAGGAAGAAAAGCTTACTGTGTTTTCATCTCTGGTTGTTAATGCAATTACTTTATCTTCAATATAACTTATTTGTTTGAGCTCAGTTGTTGAGCAATGCATTTAATGTCTTATATTAGTGGACATAAAAATAGGCTTAACCTTCTTCTTAGGATGTTTTGGAAGAATGCACATCTCTTCCCAAACTGTCTTCTTACTCTGGATGGGTGGTAGATCACATCCTACCCAACACCTCACCCCGCATGCAAGAGAACTCTCCTGATAATTCACCATCCTCTGGATCTGCTTCAGGCCTGGACCAACCCTCACTTCTTAAATCTCCTGTCAAAAGCTCCCCAGAACCCCCCTCACCTTCAACACCAAATGGAACCAAGGTAAGGTTTGAAGACAAAACACCTGTTGGCTGCAAAATTGAAGTGTTTGTCAAAATTGAAGTTTAATGTCACATGACAGTGACATTAACCTAGGGAAATGATTGTTTCCTATTGCAGCTGTTTGTAGGAACAGTATTTACCATTTCACCCAATGTTCTTGTATGTGTGTGTAGAAGTATGCACATGTGTGTGGAGGCTCGAGATCAACTTTGGGTATTTATTCTCAAGGACCTTCACCTTGTTTTCAAGACAGAGTTTCTCTGTGTAACAGTTCTACTTGTCCTGGAACTGGCTTTGTAGACCAGACTGGCCTTGAACTCACAGATATCTGACTGCCTTCCTAGTGCTGGGATCAAAGGGTTTTTGTTTTTGTTTTAGATAGGGTTTCTCTGTGTAGCTCTATAGATCAGGCTGTCCTCGCACTCACAGGGATCTACCTGCCTCTGTCCCCTGAGTGTTAGGAATAAAGGTGTGTGCCACTACCACTTGGCCACCTTGTTTTTTGAGTCAGTGTCTCTCATTGGCTTGAAGCTCATTAGTTAGTATTAACTGGCTGGCCAGTAGTCCCAGGAATCTTCCTGTCTCCCCTTCTCCAGTATTGGAATTATAAGCACATGCCACCATATCAATTTTTATAGGATATTGGGGATCAAACCTTAGGCCTTCCTGTTTGTACTTTACCCACTAAGCTATCTCCCCAAGCCAAGAAGAAACATCATTTATTAAAAAACAAAAACAGTTTGACACAGGTGTGGTAGTGCACCGAATGCTTTAGTTGAAGCATTTGGGAGGGAGAGGCAAGTGGATCTCTGTGAGTTCAAGGTCTGCTTGGTTTACAGAGTAAATTCTAGGCCAGCCAGAGCTACATAGTAAGACTCTGTCTCAAAAAAGGAAAAAAAATATTGTGCCTCTTGACCTTTTGGGTAAGATCAAATGTAAATCAATTAGGGCCAGAAATGGGGAGAGGTCGAAGAGGGAGGAACAAAGTTGGCATCATGAAAAACAGTGGTTCTAACCTGTTTGCTGCTCTAGTTGGCAGTGTGAGCCTGGGAGAGTGGACCCGAAAAGTAAGCCAGAGTCATGTAATAAAATAAAATAAATAAAAATAAGGCGGTCTCATGTAATAGTCAACTTTACTCAGAGCATCAGTTTATACTCTGAAGGTTAAGAGTCACTTGAGTAAGGTGTTCAATCACAAAGACAAGCCACACGTGGCAAAAACATGTGTTTCTGTAGAGACATAAACAGATAACAGTCAGTTGTAATGAATAATGTGAAATAAACTCACTCTTATCTGCTACATGTAAGGTAGGCAGGAAAGCACATTCCAAGAACAATTTTTGTGTTTTGAAGAAACTGAGGCCATAAGATCTTGTTTTCTTGGAGTTTTATCACAAACACTCAGAAATCCCCTCATATAACTTGTACAGTGTTCTGGCACTAAGCTAAATTATTTTCATTATTGGTTCTTAAGTTGGACGAGTTAGAGTTTGGAACTCAAGCCTACCTCAAAGGATCCTGTGTTTAACTTTGCCACACACACCCCTTCACCCCAGGCAGCAACATTCAAAGGTGAGGCTTTTGGGAAGTGATTGGATCATTATTTTCAGAATAATAATACATTGATGGGGTCATAATCTGATAGGTTACCAGAGTTGGAAACATAGTAGGTGGCACCAGGTTGAAGGGAGTAGGTCCTCATCAATTAAACCTCATCGCAGGCCCCCTCCTGTCTCTTTCCTTTGCTCCCCAGCCACCTTAAGGTGGCAGCTTTTCTCTAATACATGCTTCAGCTGTCATGTTCTCTGCCTTAGCATGGCCCAGAAACAAGCAACAAATTGTAGCAGGTTTTCTTTTTGGCCACCAAAATCATGACACAGAGACTTCTTATTAGTTATGAATGCTTGGCCTTGTCTTATGTCCACCCCACTAGCTCTTCTTATAAGTTATATTAACCTATTTCCATTTATCTACATTTTGTCTCAGAGCTTTTTACCTTTCTTTCATTCTGTATGTCCTACTTTTCTTGTTTCCTCCATGTCTGTCTGTCTGGCCCCTATTGTCTCCCTCATTTCTGTCTCTGTCTTTGTCTCTGTCTCTCTGTGTCTCTTCCTGTCTCTGTCCTCTTTCCTTCTATTTATTCTGCCAACCAGTCCTGTCTATCCTTCTACTGCCTAGCTATTGTCTGTTTACCTTTTTATTAGACCAATCTAGTGTCTTGTGTAGGCAGAGCAATACATCTTTACATCATTAAACAAATGTAACACATTTTTACATAGTTAAAGTAATATTCCATAACAAGTGAATTAATGGCCATGTATAGAAACCTCTCAAATTGGAAGCCAAAATAAATCTTCCTTTTGTTTAATTATCTAGGAAAACACCTAGAAAACTACAGTGACAGAAAGCTAGCAAAAACATGATCTTTGTCTATGAAAGGTAACACAAGTTTACCATATTCAAAGCTCATTTATTTATTTTTATCTTCTGTTTAGAACACATATGACTCCCAGCACACAGAACCTATTGCACTTCTGTCCTCCCGAGCGATCAAAGTAGAAGGTTGCATCAGAATGTATGAATTGGTGCACAGAATGAGAGGAACGGTAAGTGAGACCATAATGCAAAGAAGGCTTAGCATTACCTAGAGAGCAACCTAGTTCACTAGATCCCCCCAGGGGGAGGATACTCAATACATGCTAATTGTCATTTGACACCCACTGAAAACTCACTTTGGAGATACTGTGATGTCAAGGTCAAAAGTGAATACTCTCAAGTGAAATCCGGTTTCATTTTCTGGCTGTTCTAACTTCAGGAAAATTACTTAGGCTTTTCTATATTCCATTTAATTCTCCATACACATACAGATGTGTCAGATATGTTTATATTATGACAGTTGTGTTTTAGCTTCTGAGAGAATAGTACTATTTTAATTAATTTGACTTAGGGAATACTTCTGTCTTCTAAAATTAAGTTTTGCCTGAGTCTGTAATTGAAAGTACAGCAAATTAAGATCATTAAAAGTGGGCCTGTGGGGGTGGGGGTGGGGATGTGGCACATGCCATTAATCCCAGCCAGCACTCTGGAGGAAGATCTCTATGAGTCCAGGCCAGCTTGGTCTATAGAGCTAGTTCCAGGACAGGCTCCAAAACTACACAGAGAAACCCTGTCTTGAAAAACAAAACAAAGTGAAATCTTTAAAAATTGGCAAGATTGGGTTGGAGAGATGGCTCAGAGGTTCAGAGCACTAACTGCTCTTCTGTAGGTCCTGAGTTCAATTCCCAGTAACCACATGGTGGCTCACAACTGTCTGTAAAGAGATCTGGTGCCCTCTTCTGGCCTGCAGGGATACATGCAGGCAGAACACTATACATAATAAACAAATCTTTTTTTTTTTTTTTAATTTTTTTATTTAGTAATTGCATTGGTGTTTTGCCTGTATATCTGTGTGAGGGTATCAGATCCTCTGGAACTAGAATTACAGACAACTGTGAGCTGCCTTGTGGGTGCTGGGAATTGAACCCAGGTCCTCTGGAAGAGCAGCCAGTGCTCCCAGCCACTGAGCCATTTCTTCAGCCCAAACAAATAAATCTTAAAAAAAAAAAAAAAAAAAAAAAAAAAAGGGGAAGAGCACTTGCTCTGTAAGCATGAGGATCTGATCTCAAATCCCTGTTACCCATACAGAAAGCTATTCATGGCCGCATATGCTTGTAACCCCAGTATTAGGGGGTAGATAGGCATGCTAAAAGCTGACTGGCCAGTTACATTTAGCCAAATGGTAAGCTTCTGGTTCATTGAAACATCCCATGTCAAGGTAATTAGAATAATAGAGGAAGACACTTGACATCTTTCTCTGTAAGTGTATATACACAATACAATACATATACCACATTACCACTACACACACACACACACACACACAAACTAGAAATAAACTCAGTTGATAGAGTTCTTGCTTAGCCTGTACAAAGTCAGTCATGGACTCAGTCAGTCTCTGGAAGAATATAAAACTGGGCCCATGCACTAGGAGCTGGAGACAGGTAGAATTTAAAGGTCATCCTCAGCTATAGAACAGGTTTGAAACTGGCAGGTGCTGCATAAATTCTGTCTAAAGAAAAGGAAAAAAAAAAAAACCCATCCAAGGACAAGTGATCCTACACAGCTATTGAGAAGCAAGCAGGTGGCTCCATGCTCTTGAGTCTCCCAGGTTCTAAGGACTGAGGGTGGTGGTCAAGGAACAGATGAGCCAGATGGCTGTGGCACAGCAAAAGCAGGTGCTGATCCTTTTCAGGAGGGCCTGAGGCAGTGGCAAGAAGAGCAAGAGAGGAAGGTGCGAGCTCTCTCAGAGATGGCTTCTGAACAACTAAAGAGGTTTGATGAGCTGAAGGAACTGAAGCTGCATAAGGAATTCCAGGATTTACAGGAAGTGATGGAGAAGAGGTGAGTCTTCTTGAGTGGCTGCTACAAATGTGTGTGATCAGCTTGCTTGCTTTCCCAGAGAAATCCCAAGGTGAAACAGCCCTTAAATATCAAAATAAAACAGGCAAAGAAGTTTACAGCTAGAAAAGTGACCAGCCTTGGGAAGAGGCCTAATGTGACAGTGATGGGGAGGGAAAACTGTCTCAGGAGACTTCCCTGACTCTGTTTTATTTATCAGCACTAGAGAAGCCCTAGGACACCAAGAGAAGCTAAAAGCTGAGCATCGCCACAGAGCCAAGGTCAGTGCCTGGGAGAATTGGCATGGTTGTACTGGTGTCTGTCTCTAGCCCTCTGAATGTTCATCATACTGTCAACAGACAGCCTTTCTGGAGACCTTGGTCCATGATCATGCTCCTGGATAGTAGCTGTGTAGTAGTTACTTCTTCATCACTGTGACCAAAACCCTGAGAAGACAAAAGGCGATTGTTTTTCAGATGACTCAGAAAGCCTCTGCTTTTTGGGTTTCCCCCTTTTCTCCTCCTTCTCCACCTGGCTTAGCCTGTGGGAATGGTACACCTACATTTGAGCAGACCTCCTCCCTTATTAATCCTCTCTGAAAACATCCTCAGAAACCTGGAGAGTTATGATTTGTTACTCTACTGTGTTCTTTTTCAAGCCAGTCAAGTTAAAAATTGCAATAACCTTTGTATTGTCCTTGTGGAGCTTATTTCCTGTTCTTAACCCACCTGTGAAAAGATGTAGCTCTCCTAGGATTTCAGCAGCATGGAAAGGGAAAGGCTCCCCCACTCAGCCACTCAGTGGTCCTTTCAGTAGATTCTCAACCTGAAGCTTCGAGAGGCAGAGCAGCAGCGTGTCAAGCAGGCAGAGCAAGAGCAGCTGCGAAAGGAGGAAGGCCAGATCCGTCTACGCAGCCTTTACACCCTGCAAGAGGAGGTCCTTCAGCTTAACCAGCAGCTGGGTGCTTCCAATCAGCACAAAGACCTGCTGAACATCGACCTGGCTGCCTTCCAGACCCGGGGCAACCAGCTGTGTAGCCTCATCTCTGGAATCATTCGTGCTACTTTGGAGGTAAGGGATTTCAGAATAATTCCTTCCGGTTACAAACAAAGCTGGTTAAAGTCAAAATGTATTTTGATTTAAAAATAATGCCTACCTGCTTGGCTTTGGTGGTTCATGCCTTTAATCCCAGCACTTGGGAGGCAGAGGCAGGTAGATCTCTGAGTTCAAGGCCAGCCTGGTCTACAGAGCTAGTTCCAGGACAGAGCAATACAGAGAAACCCTGTCTCAAAACCAAACCAAACCAAAACAAAACAAAAAAACCAATGCCTGCCTTTTGGAGGAAATACCAGTCATTGCTTGGCCAGTAGGGTAAGAGCTGGTAAAGCATTTGCTAGCTTGCATGAAGTCCTGGTAACATAAATGAAAACCTAGCAAATAAGACATAAATACATAGAAAAGATTAAATATATTTTAACTTCATATCTTTGTCTTACTCTATATTTTATATTTAAATGTAAAGCCAGAGATAAACATTAAGTACAATGGAAAAAAGAGGTGAGTAGTTGACAGTAAGCACAAGTAAAACTGAAGTTATAAAGGAAAGTGTTGACATCTGAGTACTTAAAATTTATATTATAAATTAGGAAAAATGTGTCATATACACTAAAACTTAATGTCCTTGATTCAAAGGATGCTCTTGAAATTTTTGTAAAAGGATAAACTGCTTTTACTTTCTGCTTTTCTTGTACAAGTAAAAAGGAGTAAAGGACATGACAGGTGACTTTAAAAAGCTGATCCCCAGCCGGGTGGCGGTGGCAGTGCACGACTTTAATCCCTGCACTCAGGAGGCAGAGACAGAGGCAGACAGATATCTGTGAGTTCGAGACCAACCTGATCTACAGAAGCTAGTTCCAGGACAGGCTTCAAAACAGAGGAACCCTGTCTCGAAAAATAAAAACAAACAAAAAAGTTGACCCCAGCAGGTAGAGGCCTTGTGCTTAGGCTGATGAATCTGAGTTCCCTGATGAACCTGAGTTCCCGGCTCACACAAGGTGAGAGGAGAGAGCCAACTTGCTGGAGTTTTCTGACTTTCGTAATTACATCTGCAACTGAGTGCATGTGCCCAAGGGTGCGAGCTCACACACACACACACACACACACACACACACAGTATAATCTTTTACCTAAAAACAAAAGCTGAAATAGAACTTTGAATAATTATGAATGAATCACCACTAATAAGACATTTTACAAATAACAGCTCTGTTTCTTTGTTACTGAGGCAATGTAGCCCAGGCTGGCCTCAAACTCAATGCCTACTCTTAGCTTGTTAGTGCTGGATCAAAGACCTGCACCTAGCTAAAATCAACATGTTTAACTAGTATATTGTTGTAATTCCCACCACCTTTTTTTTTTTTTTTTTTTTGTTCTTTTGAATTTTTTACATGTGTACATATGTGTCAGTGTTTATGTACACATGTGTGTGGGTTTTCATGGCGGCTAGAAGAGGATGTCACATCTGGACCTGGAGTTATGGGTAGTTGTGAGCCACCTGACATGGGTGCCAGGATCCAAACCCAGATGCTCTGCAAGATTAGCAAGTACTCTTAACTACTGAGCCATTTCTCTTGCCCCCCTTTTTTTTTTTTTTTTTTTTTTTTTGGTGAGGGGGGGTCTTGCTATATAGTCAACATGGCTTAGAACTTAAGGCATTGCTCCTCCTACATCAGCCTTTTGAGTGCTAGGATTACTGGCATATGCACTTGGTTTTGTCCCAGACTTTTTTTTAAAAGGTTGCTCTTGCTAGGTAGTAGTGGCTCATGCCTTTAATCCCAGCACTCGGGAGGCAGAAGCAGGCGGATCTCTGTGAGTTCTATGCCAGCCTGATCTACAGAACAAGTTCCAGGACAATTACACAGAGAAGCCCTATCTCAAAAAACCAAAAAAAGGAATTAAAAAAAAAAAAAAAAGACTCCTGACTAGTGTTGATGAAAGCATCAAAAACTCCATTGTCAGTTGCTATGGATGTGATGATGATAAACCTTTTGGTGTGGGTGTGTGCGCGTGCGCGTGTGCACGTGCGCACGTACATACACACACACGCACACACACACACACACACACACACACACACACACACACACGTAGAAGTCAGGGGACAACTGTGCAGGGTCAGTTCTATCTTTGTGGAAGTTCCAGGTATTAAATTCAGGTTGTCTGTGTTACCTTTACCCACTGAGGTATCTCAATGGCATTTTTTGTGAAACAATCTCACTGTGTAGCCCTGACTGGTCTCAGAGTTGCAGCAATCTTCCTGCCTCTATCTCTCAGGTGCTAAGATCACAGGCATGAGCCACCCTTCCCAGCCCTACAATAGTAAATCTTTAAGAGAACAGAAAAAGAGTAGGTATTTGACCGTGTATATGCACTGGTCCAACAGTTCCACTTTAGAAATGTATTGTGTGTGGTGTGACTTAATCCCACAAGGGTACCTATGAAATGAGTGTTGTCTCTCACTCTGACAGAGTGGTTATCCCACAGCAGAGAACCAAGCTGAGGCTGAGAAAACCCTGCAGGAAATGAGGGACCTCCTCTCCAATTTGGAGCAGGAGATCACCAGAGCCTATGAAGTCAAGAAGAAGCAGGATGAAGAGGAGGCCCGGGTCAAGATGCAAGAGTCACAGGTCCAGCAGGGTCCAGGGGCTCCCACCCAGCCCCCAGTGCACAGTCCAAGCCCTGCAGTGACACAGAATGAAGGTGGGCGTTGAGCGTCGGTGTGGATGCAGTTCTTTAACTGTTTTTGTTTGTTTGTTTGTTTGTTTTTTCTTAGATAGGGTTTCTCTGTGGCTTTGGAGCCTTTCCTGGAACTAGCTCTTGTAGACCTGCCTCTGCCTCCTGAGTGCTGGGATCAAAGGCATGCGCCACCACCGCCTGGCTCAGTTCTTTAAATGTTTAAATGTTAGGATATTCAAGGCAAAACAAACATGAGGGAGGGAGAGAGAGAGAGAGAGAGGGAGGGAAGGAAGGAAGGAGGGAGGAAGGGAGGGAGGGAGGGACGGAGGGAGGGAGGGAGGGAGAATGAGAGAGAATGTGTCACATTACAAAATGGCCCAGTTCATCAGAACTTTTACATAATGTGTTTTGGTTGATCTGGAACCAATTTCAGCTTCTAGCACTTTACACAGGGACTTTAGATTTATTTTAAAAGAATTATTTGTGGCTGGAGAGATGGCTCAGAGGTTGAGAGCACTGGTTGCTCTTCCAGAGGTCCTGAGTTCAAAGCCCAGCAGCCACTTGATGGCTCACAACCCTCTGTAATGAGATCTGGTACCCTCTTCTGGCCTGCAGGCATACATGCAGGCAGAACACTATTCATGATAAATAAATCTTAAAAAAAAATAAAAAGAATTGTTAAAGATTAATTTTCTTTTATGTGTGTGAATGTTTTACCTTCATGTATATATGTGCACTATATTTATGCTGAGCCCACAGAGGCCAGATGAAACTGTTGGGTCACCTGGAATTGAAGTTACAGGGAGTTGTAAGCCATTAGGTAGATTCTGGGAACCATAATTTTATAGTTTTCTCCAAGAGTAGCAATGGCTCTTTTTTAAAAAAGCTTTTAAGTATTTTTTAAATATGTGTAACTGCTGAACTGAAATCTCTCCAGTCCCACTGCTAAGTTATATTAAATATTATGTACAGAGAACCTTGTTTAATATGTTTGAGGATCACATAGCAATGTGTTTAGCCAGACAGGGGAATCTGTTTCTATTTGAATAGTAGTGTGACCTTAGCAAACAACCTTCTCATGTCTGTTTCTTTACTCATTAGATGGAAATAGTAGAAGTCTCTACTTCATATTGATTGTGACCACTAAAGCAGCTGGTCCATAGTGCAGTGCGTAGAATAGTTGTAGCTCATGTGACATGTTAAATAAGCTTACTGCCATTAAAGCCTGTCTTTTATTCTCAGACCTGCAGGTGAAGGTACAAGATAGTACGATGCAGTGGTATCAGCAACTACAAGATGCTTCTGCCAAATGTGTGTTGGCCTTTGAGGGCCTGACCAGCAGCAAAGACAGTCAGGTAGGGGAGAGTTGGATGGCAACAATTCTGGTGGTGTGCCCCACAGCCTGAAATTCTAAAAGAATGTACTTGTGTCATGTTCCTTCATCCTATAGGCATAGGCTCAGCTCTTTAAAATACCATCTTACATGTCACCATTCTCTTTTGGCAGGCCAAAAAGATAAAGATGGACTTGCAGAAGGCAGCCACCATCCCAGTGAGCCAGATCTCCACCATCGCAGGTGGGTCAGATGGTTTCAAATGTTGTAATTCACTTTCATTGTTTTATTTTTGCAAACTGATTGCTTTGAGGTTGTTATTCAAAGTGTTTTTTCAGGGCTTGGGATATGGCTTAGTGGCAGAGCACTTGCCAAGTATGTTCGAGGACCTGGGTTCCATCACTACTACCACACACACAAAAAAACAAAAACAAAGATGTTCAAACTATGTTGCATCCCCTTTTTTTTCTCTCTTCAAACAGAAGATAGCTGAGTCCTGTAGTACAGGACTGTAATTCGAGCTGGTTGAGGGAAGGCTGAGGTTGGAGAAGCATAAATTCAAGAACAGCCTGTATGAAAGTGCAATGCACTGAGACCTTATCTCAAAAGGAGAAATTCAGAAGACACTGGGGTTGCAACCAGTAGAACACTCAGGACCATTCTAGGCCTAAGTAAAAACTCAGTAGCATAGAAAGAAAAAAAAAAAGGAATATTTGACTTTCTTTGGATTGGTTCACATGATTTTATTGAAAAGTTGGGGAAGTGGGGGAGCTGGGAAGGCACATTTATTTATTTGTACATTTGTTTGTTTTGTGTGGTTTTTTTTTTTTTTTTTTTTTTTTTTTTTTGAGACACAGTTTCTTTGTGTAGCCTTGGCTGTCCTGGAACTAGCTCAGTGGACCAGGCTGGCCTCCAACTCTTAGAGATCTGATCTTTCAATTTTTTTTATGGTGTTGGGCCTTGAAGACGCAATGTCCTCTACCACTGAACTACTGATTCAAAATTGTTTTATGGAGTTAGTGGGCTACTGTATTTTCCAGGCTGTCCTTAAATTCATCTTGGCTGATGGGTGTCCTTGATTTCAGATATGTGCCACAGTTGGCTTATGAGTATTGTTTTGTTTGTTTGTTTGTTTGTTTTGGTTTGTTTTTTTGAGACAGGGTGTCTCTGTTGCTTTTGAGGCTGTTTAGGAACTAGCTCTTGTAGACCAGGTTGACCTTGAACTCACAAAGATTCGCCTGCCTCTACCTCCTGAGTGCTGGGGTTAAAGGCATGCACCACCACCACCCAGCTATGAGTATTGTTTTTAAGGATTATATTTATGTGTACATGCATGTGTCTGTGTGTGACTAGATGAGTTTATGTGCAAGTGCCTATAGAGACCAAAACATGGCATTGGATCGCTTGGAATTTGTACTGCTTCATGTGGGTACAAGGGTCTGAACTCTGGTCCTCATGATTGACTGGCAGCAGTTCTTAACCACTGAACCATCTTTCAGCCTCCTGATTCTTTTTAATAAGCAATGTATTAATAATAGATCAGTTAAAATGGTTTTTTAATTTTTTTGGTGGGGAATGGTGGGGAGGGTTGATTTGGAGATAGGGTCTCACTATCTAGCCCTGGCTGCCCTGGAACTCAGAGAGATCTACCTGCCTCTGCCTCCCAAGTCCTGGCATTAAAGGTGTGCACCATTGCCTGGCTCTATTGTATTTTTGAGGGGGTACTGGTAATTTAACCCAGAGTTTTATATAGATGTGCTATGCAATGCTATGCAACCTTTTCACCTGTGAGCACCCTGCCTGACACACACTAAGATGGATTTAAGTATAAACTTGAAAGTTATTCTATAAATATCATGAAGAGAACTTGGAGGGGGAAAGTGGGGAAATACCAAACTAGGATTTCGCTTATAGTCTTTTCTTCTGTCCTGCTTTGTCCTGTGTTAACTTTTTCCAAACTCCAAGATTGACACTTTAGTACTTTCCCTTCCAGAGATGTATCAAGTAGGATCAGACATTAAGACCCTTCTTTAGAGCCTGGGTTTAGTTTCATACAGCTGTAGACAAAAAAAGCCTCCACTACAGGCTGTCCAATAAGAAGTAGGAGAGCGGAGAGAGTTCTACTTGCTTTGTACCCCATCACCTTCTTAACTTGTTGCCAAAAAAAGCACAGGAATGGCCAGGCGGGAGTGGCACACACCTCTAATCCCAGCACTCAGGAGGCAGAGGCAGGCAGATCTGAGGTCGAGGCCAGCCTGGTCTACAGAGAGGAAGTGTCAGGAGAGGCTCCAAAGCTAGACAGAGAAACCTTATCACAAAACAAACAAACAAACAACAACAACAAAACCTACCACAGGAATGATGTAGGTTATGCCCTAGAGGTCATTTGACCAAACTTACAACCCTCTGTTGCTTGCAGTTCTTTATGGAACAGGGCAGAGTATAAATAAACATGTAGCATATTGAGGAGTTTAAGTGCTGTTTCCCTTGACAGTGATAGCAGAGGGGATTGACTGCTCTGTCCTGTTTATCTTCGTTTCTTACTCCCAGTCACTACAGTCTTTCTTGAGCTACAGCAGGGAACCAAAAGCAGCTCGAACTCCTCAGATGTTGTGTTTATTTCTTAGTCTGTTTTAGAGTCTGTCTTTGATGTAACTCTCCGTTCACCACTTCTGCCCATTCTCCCTGTTTGCAAAGATTGGTTCCTTTTGCAGCTTCTTTTCTTCAGCCTTTAAATGTACTTGAGTTGCTCACATCCTAGCATGGATTCCCTTGCTCTTCTGCTTTCTGATCAGTCTCTATTCTAGTTAGTATTTCCAGTTGACCTCTGGACTACAAACTGCTCTGTGAAGCAACTCCCCTGACTTCTGTGACAGTTGCTTCTCAGGTCCTACCAACCTTTCCTTTTCCCACCCTGTCTTGACTATAGTGTTTCCTAGGGGCTTGCAGTCACCTAGTTCTATTTGTCCTTTGTAATCCCATGGTGTCAAACATTACTCCTCACTCTGTCCTGGTTCATTCCTTTCTTCCAGGCTTCAGAGTCTCTAGCAGCCACATTGGGCACTTCTCAGCCTAGGTGTGCCTTGATTCCCTCCTAACTAGTTTATCTTCTGTGGCTCTTTTCTTCCTACTGGAAACTGGAAGCAATTTGCATCTTGTTTCCCATTCTGCTGTTAGTCTAGTGAGACCCAGCATGTTTTGGAATTAGCACTTGGGAAGGTTGAGTGAACAGAGGAAAAGTAATTTTATTCTTGCCACTAAAAGTAAACAAAAACCATGAAGAGTTAGATTAGAATTAGGGAAGTGGGTATTGTAGCCGTGTCAGGCATGTGAGATTAGCCTGTGGGGTCATTGGAAGCTGTTGGTAATAGTAGTAGAATATGACTTTGCAGGAATGCACTGAGGAAATGTGTATAGAAGAGGAAACATTTAACATCCAAATAATACTTAATTTTCTGGAATTATCCTGTAGATATGTGCTATCTTTTATTTCATCTTATTTTTGTTTTTCGAGACAGGTTGTCTCTGTGTAGTCCTGGCTGTCCGGAGACTTGCTCTGTATATCAAGCTTGCCTTGAACTCACAGGGATTCATCTGCCTCTGCTTCCCAAGTGCCACCACCACCTGACTCTGTGCTGTCTTAATTCAGTTTTGGTTTCCTCTTGAATCTCTGGTTTAGGGGATATTTTTTGAGTCATTAGTGTCACTTCTGAAGTGATCAGGAACCTGATAAAATATTTTTAGCTGGAGATGTTGGTTAATTAAACCTTTGATTGTAGGTACTACTGGAATAATGAAGGCAAATTCTGCTTAAGCTCAGGGAAAATTAATGTTTATCCTAACAATGTTTCACAATAATATTTCACAGAGCCCACAGCAGGAATGGAGCTAGGTCTCTTAGGGGAAGGAGAAACTGCAGTTACCTTTCCCATCTTTCCTGTTCATCTTCATTCCCATCTCATAGATTGCCTGTCTTTGGTTCAAGCAGCAGGTCAAAGGCAATAGGCAATGTTGCAGAAACAGTCACTTCAAGGAATCTATTGTTCATTGGCTCTGTGTATCTGTGGCTGTCCTGGAACTCAGACCAGGCTGGCTTTAAACATGCAGATCCACCTGCCTCCCAAGTGCTGGGATTAAAGGTGTGGGCCACCATTGCCTGGCTGTGTGTGCTTTCTTTTGCATACATATTAGGAAATATGGGTGTCAACTTTTCATTCCTGTAACAAACTTGTGAGTTCCAGGACAGTTAGGGAGGTTACACAGAAAAACTGAGTCTGGAAAATCAACAAAAGATGATTGACATGAAGCTATATGTTGTTGATACAAGGTGATCTCAAATTCATTACATGGCTATACTCAACAGAAATGTGAATTCTAATCTTTCTACCCTTCCTTCCCAAGTGCTGGAGTTAGTTTAAGTGTACACAACCATGTCCAGCTGCTGTTTATCTTTTTGTTGCTTTTTATTTCCTACCCAGGTTCAAAGCTGAAGGAGGTCTTTGAAAAGATCCATAGCCTGCTCTCTGGGAAGCCTGTTCAATCTGGTGGGCGTACTGTGTCTGTCACTCTTAACCCCCAGGGGCTGGACTTTGTCCAGTACAAACTGGCAGAGAAATTTGTGGTGAGAAGCCTTGTTGTCATGGGTGTGGGCAGAAGCAGCTAGTGGGCAGTGTTAAGCTTTGCTATGATAGTGATTTGAAATTGTGTTTATCTTTGTGTTCCTAGAAACAAGGTGAGGAGGAAGTGGCCTCTCACCATGAAGCAGCATTCCCCATTGCAGTGGTGGCATCTGGTATCTGGGAGCTCCATCCCAAAGTGGGGGACCTCATCCTTGCTCATCTCCACAAGAAGTGTCCCTACTCTGTTCCTTTCTACCCAGCTTTTAAAGAAGGAATGGCTTTAGAGGACTATCAGCGGTGAGATTTCTCTTTCACTCACTCTAGGGAGAGTAGTAGAACATAATAAGAATCTGAGGGGCTGGAGAGATGGCTCAGAGGTTAAGAGCACCGGCTGCTCTTTCAGGTCATGAGTTCAATTCCCAGCAACCACACGGTGGCTCATAACCATCTAATGAGATAGGGTGTTCTCTTCTGGTATACAGACAAAGATGCAGACAGAACACTGTATACATAATAAAATCTTTTAAAATTAAAAAAAGAATCTGAGTTTGTTTTCACTCTTTCTCACAGCTCCCTCTCTGTACTTTAAATGTCCTGTCAGAAACAAAATGTCTTGAGCCACGATTGTTATTGCACATCTGTAATCCCAGAATTTGGGAGGCTAAGGCAAGTGGGTTTCAGGTTAGCCTGGGCTTCATAGCAAGAACCGTCTCACAAAAAAGGGGGAAAAGTAGTGCCTTTTTCAATTGAGATCCTTCTTCTCAGATGACTCTTGCGTGTGTCAAATTGACAAAACTAGGCAGCACCAAAGCAGTTTCCTTATATGTGAGTTCACTGATGAGTTTGCTTTGCAAATAGAAATAGAAATTTAATCATGGATACCTGTGCTTTGTACGGATATAAAAAGAAACCTCTTTTTCACCCTCATTTTTGGCCTTGTCATTCTGAATCTTATCTTCACACATAGTATGCTTGGCTACCAAGTGACAGATTCTAAGGTGGAGCAACAAGACAACTTTCTGAAACGAATGTCTGGGATGATCCGTCTGTATGCTGCCATTATCCAGCTCCAGTGGCCATATGGAAACCGGCAAGAGGTAGGTAAAACAGCCTGCTATTGATAAGGAATGATAGCCCAGCATCCACAGCAACCACAGCTTGCTATTACTGAGGAATCATCTACTTTGCTTTGTGAGAGCCATGCATGGATCAGGACATTTGTGAGAGCTTTCAGTCTCACTTTCCCATGGTCCAGTTGCCTTTGGAGCCATGGTGAGGCAAAGCATCATGGAAGATGCTTAGGCAGAAATGCTTATGGCAGTTGGCTAGTGAAACATGCACAAAACTTTTGAGGTGGGGTACCCAGTATGTGGGTACATCCCCAATGACCTAACGTTCCAACTGGGCTCCACTTCTTAAAGGTCCCATACTTTCCATTAGTGCCACAGGCTGGTAATCAAGCCTGTAACTTGGTCTTTGAGGGCTCTTGCAAGCTATCCATCAGAGAGGCTGTGTTGTGGGAGAATGGGTAAAGAGTGTGGTAGCCTCATGGGTGTATTTTAGAGAAGTGGGTGTTGATTCTTTGGCAACAACTTTTTTGAATCAACAAGAAAGTTCAGTTGCTCCCTCAACTGAGGTCATAAAGAGCTAATCTTAGAACAGAGTCCACAAGTCATGACATTTATAAAAGTTTCAGCCAGCTATGGCGTACTGCCTGTAATCCCAACACCAGGAAGCTGTGGCAAAAGGATTGCAAGTTCCAGGTCACTCTGGGCTACACAGTGAGAACTTGTCACTACAATACCACAATCAGACAAAAAGTCAAGTGGCGGGGGAGGCATAGTGACACGCCTTTAATACAGCATTTAGAAGGCATTAGAACTCAGCTTTGTCTACAGAATTGTTTCAGGCCACCCATTGCTAGTAAGACCCTGTCTCAAAACAAAAACAAAAACACCAAGAAACAACCTCCCAAACCAAAATCAACAACAAAGTCTTATGAGATGATTTACCCCTATACTCCCATCTTGGGAGAGTGGGCCAGGGAGGATTGCTATGAGTTTGAGGTAAGCCTGGGCTACAAAGTTAAGACTCTATCTGAAAAATAAACAAACTGCAAGTTCCCTGAACATGAAGGTGATGCTTATATTATCAAAGGAACCCTGTAAAGAATCTGTGGGGGCCTGCACATGTATCATAAGATTTAAAAAAAAAAAAAAAAAGATTAACTTTTGTTCTTTCTGTTCTGTCATATATGCATGGACCAGGTTATCTTGGGGTTCGTGTCTAGTGGCCGAGTGATTACACTGAGAGTTTAGTCTGTGAATAAAATGAGGCAAAGTCATGACACAGCTGCTTTCCTTCCAGGCTCATCCTCATGGCTTAAATCATGGCTGGCGCTGGTTGGCACAGATCTTAAACATGGAGCCTCTGTCAGATGTGACAGCCACTCTTCTGTTTGACTTCTTGGAGGTAATTCCATTGTCAAATGAGAGAAAACCAGTGATTGCAGTGGCCTCAGGACGTGGGGTAAAATGAATGAAGTGGAGCCAAATAGTGAACAGTGTTAGGCTGCTGCCACCAGCTTTTCCTAGTCTCCTTTTTCTCTCACTGTCCTTGACTTTTCTTTCACTTAGGTCCAATGGACCATTGTCTTCTCTTTATAACATCTCAGGGTCCCTGCAGGCTTTATAGCTGGCAAGGGAAACAGGTGAGGGAAGAATGAGACTCAGGTCAGCCCAGTACTGAGCCAGGACTTCTTGGAGTCTGACATCAGCTCATAAGTTTTTGCCATATTTAAGCATAGCACAATTTTGTAAAAAAAAGTTTTCAGATAATAACTCAAACCCTGTGAGTACAACAAAGTTCAAGACATGCTTATGTTGATACTCTTTGCAAAGTACAAATGACTTCATCCCTAAAATAGGTTCATGTTGACTCAGAAACAATGCTCAAGAGTGTAGGAGAATGACTGAGGTAGGCACAATGCCTGTAGGAGTCAGGAGTAGCCTGGCCCTAAGATAACAGAGAAGTCACTTAGGCTGTTGTAAAGTACAAGTGACATCTCTCACAAGGGTGAGTTTTATGGCCTTAAGTAATGCTTAAGGTTTAGGAGGAAACAGCCTGGGATAAATAAGTTAAACCTAAATTCTGTAAGATACAGGTTGAGCCTGGCTCATCAAACAGCAAAGGATCACCAGGTTGTAGACTACATCCTTTCGCAGCATTCTAGGAGGAGAATGGGTTAAAAATCTCTTTCCTTTGAAGGATGCCTATGAGTTTAACTTTGCTGGCGTCTTTATTGATCTGTGTGTACAAGCACATTCTGCCCTCTACAATCATGTGTCTTGTAACCTAAGTAAAAAGCAGACTTCATTTTAGGGATATAGAATTGAATAGTGGAACCATGGTAGACTGTGCAGGTGAGTCTCATGAGATAATGGAAACAGGAACTACATACCAGGCACCAACACAGTCATAAACATTCTTGCTTTGTAAGTCCTCTTTTCTTGCTTCGCTGAGCACTGATGAGGATGGTAGCTATCCTGGGCTGTCAGCCAGTTACCTAGTGTGGAGGGGTCAGTATCCCACTGTTCTCATTCCTACTTTCTGGGGAAAAAATGTAAGCTTGGGTCAGGTATCTCCCTCACTGAAAGCATCATACATTCCTGCCCTTAAGAAGCCATCACTCAGGGCTGGAGACATGGCTCAGTGGTTAAGAGCACTGACTGCTCTTCAAGAGGACTGGGGTTCAATTCCCAGCACCAACATGGCAACTTACAACTGTCTGTAACTCTAGGATCCACTGCCCTCACACAGACTTACATAAACGCAAAACACCAAAGCACACAAAATAAAAAAATAAGTAATTTTTTTTTTTTTAAAGAAAGAATAATACTGCCCATGTTTAAGGAAGGAATCTTTGAGCTTTTGTGGTTATTCTCTCTTCAAACTCCAATGAACATCATGAAGGGGGTCACCAGGGATCCCAGAGAAATAACAATTTAAAAGTTTGGGGGTGGGCAGGCAAAAGTGTGGCCCTCTGTCCTGCACAACAAAGTTCTGAAGTTCACTGCCAAAAAAATAAAAAGAAAGAAACCACCACTTCTACTCTCTGGCCTGGAGCTTACTATGTGGACCAGGTTGTCCTATAATTCAGTGACCCACTTGTCTTTACCTCCTGAGTGATAAGATAAAAGCATTCACCATCACACCCAGCTGAAGGAGCCACATCGATAAGCTTCAGGGAACTAGGCATAGTACTCCTATGTCTATATCCTGGCACGAGGGAGTCTCAACAGGAGGATCACAAGTTTGAGACCAGCCTTTGATACTCAGTGAAGTCTTGCCTCGAATGAATGAATGCTGAGAGTTCATGTCCTGACAAATAAATCTGAGGCACTTAGGCCTGTAATTCAGTTCTTAGTTAGCATATGACTCCTGAAGTCATGGTATATCAACATTTGAGCCTGTGTCTTTGAGATAGTGTTCTGTACTCGTATAAACTAAGAGGAATACCATGAAGTATTTGTTAAGCCATGATAGTTGACTTAAGTGGGAATGTATAGTAAATTATAAGGAAGTTGGATTTTTCTCTAATGTTATGAAGGAATCTTGAGTTTGCTAGACAATGCCCACAAATGAACTACATCCCCTGCATAGAAAGTTGGGTCTTTCCCACCTATTCCATAGTTAGCTAAGCTAAGTGATGCTGTGGCTGAGGTGTTTGATAGGAATGGTAGGCAAAGGAGTGATTGTGCTTCTCTCATGAGTTGATTTTTGTTCTCTGCTCTCATAGGTTATTTTTGTTTTTTTGTTTTTTTTTTTCAAGACAGGTTTCTCTGTGTAGCCTTGGCTGTCCTGGAACTCACTTTATAGACCAGGGTGGCCTCAAACTCACTGAGATCACTTGCCTCTGCCTCTCAAGTGCTGGGATTAAAGGAGTGTTCTGCCACTGCTACCACCACCCAGCTACTCTCACAGTTTTTACTTTCCCTCTAGGTGTGTGGGAATGCCCTCATGAAGCAGTACCAGGTCCAGTTCTGGAAGATGATACTTCTCATCAAAGAAGACTACTTCCCCAGGTATAGGCTTATTGAGCAGACTACTGGGAAGTTAGTAGGTAACACTTGGAAGCCAGGCACTATTAGTTCCTAAGTGCTAGTACAGTCTAAATCTCTGTGTGTGTGTCTGTGTGTGTGAGAGAGAGAGAGAGAGAAGAAGAGAGAGCGAGAGAGAGTGTGTGTGTGTGTCTTGGCTGAGTTTTTTTATTTTCTCTTGTTCTTTTGTTTTGTTGAGTCTCTGTAGCCCAGACTGTCCCAGAACTCCTACCAATCCTGTCTCAACCTTTTTTTTAAAAAATGTATTCTTCTCTTACACAATATATTTTGACTGCAGCTTCCCCTCCCTCCACTCTTCTCAATTGTCCCCCCACTTCCCCTCACCTAAATCCATTCCCCCAACCCCTGCTCCTCCCAGAAAAGAGCAGGCTTCCCAGGGACATCAACCAAACACATCACAACAGGGTACAAGAGCAGGCACAAACCTATATCATGGCTGTGTGGAAACCCAGTAGTTTTCCTCCCCAAGAGCAAGCAAGAGTCAGACACCCCCCCAATCCCACTGTCAGGAGTCTCCCTCAGACCACATGCCAACAACTGTAACATATATATGCAAAGGACCTATGGAAGACCCATGCGTGTCACTGAGCCCTGCTTAGTTGATTGTGCAGGCGGTGCTCTCCTGCTGTCTTCACTGGCTCCCACAATTCCACCTTCCTCTTCTTTGGGGTTCACTGAGCTCTGAGGGGAGGGACCCAGTGAAGACCTCCAGCCTAGGCTGGCTTTCTGCCTAATGTTTGGCTGTGGATCTTGTGCATGGTTTACTTTAAAGTTATATTTGTTTGTTTGTTTTGTTTATTGGTGGGGGTGGGGCTTGTGCTTGCCATAGTGTACACATGAAAGTCAGGACCATGTGTGGGAACTGGGTTTTTATTTTTCTTTGTGGATTCCTGGGATCAAACTCAAGTAACTCAGGCTTCGTAGCAAGAACTTTAACTCCTGCTGAGCCATCTTGCCTTCCAAGTATGTGGTATTTTTGACTGGAGTGAAAAATGAGCTAGGTTAAGTGGTTGAGCATGTGTCTGGCATGAGCAAGGGCCTAGGCTTGATCCTCAGATCCAAAGATAATGTTGCTGGGCTGTCATGGCTCACACTTTTAATCCCAGCACTCAGTAGGCAGCAGCAGGCAAGCAAGAGTTCAAGGCTACCCTGATCTACAGAGCGAGTTCCAGGACCACCAAGACTAAAGAAGCCCTGTCTCGAAGAACAAAAAAGGGATATATATTTACTCATCCTTCTCTTAAATTTTTTAAGAAATTTATTTTCCACTGTTTACACTTGAGAATGTTCCTAAACATACACAAACACAAATACACAGTATATGCGTGTGCCCTGAGAGGTCAGAGGTGTTGGAGCCCCCAGAGCTGGAATTATAGGCACTTAGGAACTGCCCTTCTTGGGTGCTGGGAAGTGAAGAACTCATGTCCTCTGCAAAACCAGTAAGTACTCTTTCTGGTTTTTCAAGACAATTTCTCTATAGCTTTGGAGCTTGTCCTGGAACTAGCTCTGTAGACCAGGCTGACCTCAAACTCACAAAGATCTGCCTGTCTCTGCCTCCAGAGAGCTGGGACTAAAGGTGTGTGCCACCACCTCCCAGCTTCTATCTCTCCAAGTTTTTCTTCTCTTTGATGTTTGAGTAAATGATGTTTTATTGTTGTTTTTGTTTTTTGAGACAGGGTTTCTCCATGGCTTTGGACCCTGTCCTGGAACTAGCTCTTGCAGACCAGGCTGGCCTCAAACTCACAGAGATCTGCCTGCCTCTGCTGAGAATAAAGGCGTGTGCCACTACCGCCTGGCATTGAATAAATGATTTTGAATTTCAATGAAAAAAGTTTTAAATACTGTTTCTTAAGGAAAATATAAGTTAGGAAGATGTTGAATAAGATATTTCATGTTGGAAATGGGTAATAGGACACTTATCTAGCACATTCTAGGTTGTGTTCAAACCATTATATGTTTTCACTCACACACCACTGAAAAGATACTGTCAGTTTTTTGAGGAGGGGTTAGAACAAGAATGGCCTGGAGTTTAGCATTCCTCCCTCAGTCTCACAAGTGCTGAGGTTACAGGCTTGAGCTACAATGCCCAGGGTGTGTGGTGTATGTGTGTGTGGGAGGGGAGGAGGGTTGGTTGTATATATGCACATCTAAGTCAAAAATCAACATTGGGTGTTTCTATCACTCTTCACTATTTTTTGAAACAGTGTCTCTCGTGAACTCAATGATTTGGCTAAACTGGCTGGCCACCAAGCCCCAGGAATTCTTTTTGTTTTTTTAATTGTTTCACTATGTAGCTTTGTAGACCAGTCACTATCCCAAAATCTAGGATTATTGGTGCCTTTGTGCCCCTGCCTCTGGCTTCTATAGATGTTGTGGGGATGAAACTCAGCTCTTCGTGCTTATGCAACATGTACTTTACCAATTGAGTGTCTCTCCAGCCTAGTTTTTTTTTTTTTTTTTTTTTTTTTTTTTTTAAGAGAGGGTCTTCATTCTTTAGCCCAGGCTGAATTTGGTACATACTATATAGCCAAAGGTGACACTGAAATTCCTGCCGCTTCTGCCCCTGTGTGTTAAAGATTACTGGTGTATGTGACCATACCTGACTCTGGTGTGTTTAAATATTATTTGTAAACTTCCCCATGTAATCTGGGATCATGATTACAAGGAGTCATACATTGAACCATGGAGCTGAGAACCTATTATGTCAGTTGGAGAAACTGATCTGCCTACCAGATTGTCTGATGACTGTGGTGTGGCTTTCATCCATTCATCTTAAAGTCCTCTTCTAAATTCATTTAGATTTCAAGTAGGGAGAAGACCTTGGCTCTACTCATCCTATCTGATCACAAAGACCTCAGAAAAGAGCATCATGTCCCTTTCCTTTGTTCTTTGAAAGACCAGCAAGGACCATTTGGAAAACCAGCCAGCATTCTTTTTTTTGTTTTGTTTTGCTTGTTTTGTTTTTTGAGACAGGGTTTCTCTTTGTAGCCTTGGCTGTCCTAGAACTTACTCTGTAGACCAGGCTGGCCTCAATTCACAGAGATCTGTCTGCTTCTGCCTACCAAGTGCTTGGTTAAAGGTGTGGGCCACCACTGCCTGGAACAGCCAGCATTCTTTAGAAGAGTCGGTGGATCTAGTCCTTACCTGATCCGAGAGCATGGTGGGAGTGACATCTCTCTCTCTTCCTCCCTCCCTCTCTGCCTCCTTCCCTCCCTGCCTCCCTCCCTCTACAGAATTGAAGCCATCACAAGCTCAGGACAGATGGGTTCATTCATACGTCTGAAGCAGTTTTTAGAGGTAAGATGCTCTATTCCAACATGCCTTAAACTTTGGCTTAGACACACTTGTGTCCATACACCTTAGGCCTCTAGACCTGATAGCTATCTTGTCTGTTTGCCCACACTCTGCTTTTTGTTCATAATTCCCCTTGCATTTTAGATCAAAATGTCTTTTCAACCCTATATACTGTTCTCCACACTACCTATCAGGCAGCTGTCCTAAAAGTGTAGTAGGCTGTAAAGTATATGTAACAAATCACTCAAATTTTTTTTTTGCTTGTCAGCCAAGCAAAAGTCTTCTGTCAGTCTCAGGTGTAGGGAACTATTGAGTATGGCTACTTTGTCCGTGAGACCATACTGCATGTTCGTTGGATTCTTCCTTTATTTCCAAGTACCAAGACATTTTTTTTCTATTTTTTTAAATATAAATTAGAAACAAGCTTGTTTTACATGTCAATCCCAGTTCCCTCTCCATCCTCTCCTCCCCTGCCCCCCAGTACCAAGACATTTTAAAAGGTTGATTTTAACAGATCATCTAGAACTCTGTAGTAAGTCTGCCAAGGTAGCCCGCTGGCTGCCAGCTTCTTGGAGCCTATAAAATAATGATGGTGAGCCAGTTGGTGGTGGCACATGTCTTCAATCCCAGCATTCAGGAGGCAAAGCTGCTACACAGAAACCCTGTCTCAAGAAAAAAAAAAAAAAAAAAAAAAAAAAAAAGTAGTGTTGGTGGCCAATAAGGTCATGCTGTGGGGAAATGGGTGGGCAGCCTAAGAACAATTCTTCTTTTAGTTTTCCACAGACCCATTAGACTTTTTTTTTGGGGGGGGGTCTGTTCTCTCTGGTCTGGATCTTGTCCCTCAGTGTCTCCCCATTGTTAAATGCTAGAGGCACTTTTGTCAGAAACTTAATCTGTTTTCTTTATCTTTCATGTCTAGAAATGTCTGCAACGCAGGGAGATCCCTGTCCCCAAAGGCTTTCTGACGTCCTCCTTCTGGCGCTCCTAATGCCCTCATCAGTCATCGCATCGTGTTGCAGCAGGGCAACAATAAAGCAACTAAGACAGCGAGTTTGGAAGAAATCATGTTAGATTTAGAACTTCATTATTGTGTTTATACATATATTTGTACCATGGAACTAAGATTTTCATAGTTCACAGCCTTTTGTCAGTCTCTTGTCAGATTTGGTAGTTGCTATAGGTGTCATGGACAGAACAACAGAACTGGCCTTTCTCATTTTCACAAGTTATAAAAGAGGTCAGAAGAGGCACTGAGCACTTGGCTACATCCTTTTTGTCTCGAGTATGTTTCAGAAAGTTGGTGATACTTTATCTGTTTCCCTCTGACCTAGCATGAGACTAGTTTTCACTTCTCTCTCTGTCCCATCCCCTTTTGTACACATACTTAGAAAGAGTAAACTTCTTAAGATTCCTTTTAAAGTATCAGGTGATGTTGAGGCCATTCTCTTCTATGCAGTCTGGGTATGAGGTAAAGTACTTTATACTTTATGGCTTGTAAATTCCTTGTATATTCAGAGGACATGTATGATGTAGACATGGATTGAACCCCAGAGTGCATCAAGGTAGCAGGTATATGGATCAGGACTAGGAACATGCAACTATAGAGCACTCTCTGTCTTCTTGATCTGGAATTTGGTCCCTGGATAGCTGGAGATGCTGTCCTAGATTAGGTGCCTTTTTGTTTTCTGACAAAAATGAAGATGGGCTAACATACAGGTTAGGTGAAAGCAGAAGACCATCAGCAGTGAATGCATTGGTCACCAGGAGGAGCTGACTGTGTCAGATGGAAGCTGGTATTAGGGATAGATGGACTCTGTGTACCACACAGGCGGAGCCACGGATCTAGTCCTGTAAGCAGAGGTCCTTGTGTGGTGGCTCTCTTAAATGGCCTAAGCATTTCAATTGTAAACTACAGTGCCCAAAAAAAAGAAATACAGCTTGAATTTTTAAAAATTCTCTATTATGTGGTTGCCTCAATATTATCTGTGTCCTGTGCACGAACAGTGTATATAAATCCATGGAATATATGTTTCTTCCTCTTTGCCCTCATCATGGAAAAATTTGTTTTTGAATCATTCTTTTTTTAAAAATTATGTTCCAATAACTAACTTTGATCTAGCAAGAGATGTGGGAGATTGAGGCTATAAGCATTTACCTAGCATGCTGGAAACCCTCAGCTCCAGCCGCAGTGCCTCTCCCCAGGAAGAGAAGTGAGAATATTAAGTCCATTAATGTAACAAAATGGTGTGCACACTTGAGTCAGGTGATTGGACTCCATTTTTGTTTTGTTTCACCGCTCGGAACCTGACATCCCCACTTACAAAACACAGGAATTGTCATTGCATCTTTCTTTCTATGCCTGGTAGTAGTTCCTGGGTTTGAGTTTCACTTTGTCCTGTAACTTGTCTCCCTCACCTGCAGGGCTACCTGGCAGGGCCCACAGTGAGTGGCATTCTCATAGCTACCTGTCACTTGCCCTTCCTGTCTACCTAAACCTTGCAAATGGCATCTGTTTTCCACAGACCATGGTCAGGAAACTTCAGGATAAAAAAGTGGATAGGCTCAGGCCTTCCTTAGTTAACAAATGGAGGTTGTGCATATTTAAAAAGGCACTCCTAGAAACCACTCCCTCTTCTTGAAAATGAACCTGTTCATTACTGGAAACCTGGTGCTGAGTGAATGGTGCCCATTCAAGTTAATGCAGCTCATGTTTTGCACAACCACTAAAGAGGACCCTCTGGAGCTCTCTGACTTTTCCCTTTGCCACATCATTTTTGCTAAGTTTATATGTGAAGTTCTATATGGAGTGGTTCCTTTGTCAAAAATAAAATGAGAACCTGGGTGTGGTGGTACATGCCAATGATTCCAGCACTGATGCAGCTGAGGGAGAAGAATTAAGACAGAAATTAAGTCTAGTCTGGACAACATAGCAAGTACTAGGCCAACCTGAGCTACACAGTAAAACTGGTCTTAAACAAATACGAAGTTAGATGTATGAACGTGAACCTATAGTCCAGTATGCTTTGAAGGTTTCTCTAACAGCCCTGGCTGTCACGGAATTCACTTTGTAAATCAGGTTGGGCTTGAACTCACAGAGATTTGCCTCCCCAGTGCTAGGACTGAAGTCGTGTGCCACCATGCCCAGCAAGAGATGTAGTCTTAACCAAGTGTAGTGGTGTATGACCCAGAGGTAGGTGGACATTTGTGAATTTGAAGCCAATTAAGGTACCTAAAGACCACTAGACAAATGAGACATCGGAAGAAGGACCAATCATCAAGAGAAAATGTCCCAAGAAAAAGAGTAAATTGGCCTAATGGCTCATTTATTTATTTATGGTTCTTCAAGATAGGGTCTCTCTGTATAACTTTGGCTGCCTTAGAACTTACTCTGTAAACCAGACTCACAGAGAGCCACCTACCTCTGCCTTCAAGTGTTGGAATTAAAGGGCTGTGCCACCACCATCCGGCTATGTTTCTACTCTTCTTATTTTTTCCAAACTGGGTTTCTCTGTGTTGTCCTGTCTGTCCTGGAATTTGCTTTGTAGACCAGGCTGGCCTTGAACTCACCGAGATCTACCTGCCTCTGCCTCCCAAGTGCTGGGACTAAAGGTGTGCACCACCACTCCCTTGCATGTAGAAACTCTTGTTTAAGATATTTTTGTATATTGATTCAAATTTAAGATTATTTCTATTAAAACATTCTATTTATATATTTCTACTTTAGTTAAAGGTATGTGTAGCTCAGCCAGGTGTTGGTGGCTCACACCTTTAATCCCAGCACTCGGGAGGCAGAGGCAGGCAAATCTCTGTGAGTTCGAGGCCAGCCTGGTCTACAGAGCTAGTTCCAGGACAGGTTCCAAAACAATACAGAGAAACCCTGTCTCCAAAACAAAACAAAACAAACAACAACAACAACAAAAAAGTATATATATGCAGCTCATTTAAAAATGTAATGAATGTTCTGGCCTTTGCAAGCTATTATTATAAACTATTTAGGATAATTAAATGCAAGTTAGTAGTTATCTGTAACAATCAGACTTATAATCATGTTAAGTATGTTTTCAAGGTCAAACATTTATTTTAGATAGGTGCTCTTCAAACATTTCAGAGACCTACAGAATATGGCATTTACGATATTTTAATAAGGTAAGGCTTTTAATGACAGTGATAGACATCTATTCCTAGCAGCACCAATCTAGTTCAAAGAACACTGAAGAACCTTTCTTATGGAATTTGCTTTCATTTGTGGCAAAAGTTAGTTATTGGGCAAGAAACTTCCGTTGCCTTGACTGCTGACAGTATGGTGTCCAAATTGGACAAGCAGGACACAAAAGAAGGTAATTGCCAAATTTTGTCAGGACAAGGTAGGATAGTCCTTCAAATATCCTGCCTCAGAGAAGTCTGTCAGATATTCTAGGCCCATAGGCTGAAGATAGATGCCCCAACATTGCTGGGGAACCTTGAGTGAAATGTCCAGGCAGCCAGATGTCTCAGTCATTCCTATAGTTTTGGAAGTTGATTGCTCTGTACTTACTGTTTACTCGGGTAATATATACTTCACAGGACTCTGATGGAGTTGAAAAATAGTTATATGGTTTTCTTTGTTACCAAATTCAGAAAAGAAATTTACAAAAGAGATGTAAAGCTACAGAGAAACCTTATCTTGCAAAACCAAAAATAAAAAACAAAACAAAAATAGTAGGACAATTTAGATAAATGCTTCATCTTGTGGTCTCCTGTGTAACACAGCAGGCATTTGGAGGTCAGTGGACAGCTTTGTGAAGTTCTCTTTGACTTTTACATGGGTTGGGGATTGAACTCAAGTTGTGAGGCTTCATGACAAACTTCTTTACCAGCCTAGCCAGCCTGAGAGAACTCACAGAGATCCACCTGCCTCTCCCTCCCCAGTGCTGTTATTAAAGAGGTGCACCACCACCACCCAGCTGCAATTTTGTTTGTCTTCCAACTCAATGTTTCTCTATATAGTAGCCTTTATAACAATTTCGTATTCTTCCTTTGGGTGTGATTAGCAGTCTTGGCATTTGTCACTTGATGCTAGTTATTCTAATGGAGTCTCAAATGTGAACAAAGAAGATCATTGGAAGGCTGGGTTTTTGATACCAACTGATAGAGTTGCCTCAGAAACCATGACTGCCAGCTGATAGATGTAGTTCGATACAGGCACATCAGATGCTTTGCCACAGAATTCTACAAGCTGCATTCTCTTTTCAACTTAAATTCTTGCTTATCTGCCTTCCATTGCAGGTTGCCCTCATTCCTTTGGCCCAAATTTTTGTCATGTCATTCATTGTCCTATATCATCTTAGTGCAGATTTGATGATGTGCTAAAAATTCCAGTGGGCTGTAACCTCTGTACATCAGTCATACAGAACAGAAGAATGGGGCTCCCAATTGGCCTTGTGATTTCTCTGTCTCTCTCTTACACACACACACACACACACACACACACACAAGAATCCTGTGATTAGTCGGGTGGTGGTGTAAGCCTTTAGTCCCAGCACTCGGGAGGCAGAGGCAGGCAGATCTCTGTGAGTTCGAGGCCAGCCTGGTCTACAAGAACTAGTTCCAGGAAAGGCTCCAAAGCCACAGAGAAACCTTGTCTTGAAAAAATCCTGTGGTAACTGCAGTAATATAATGAGGTTCAGACATTCCTAGGTGCCAGGACAATATAAACCACAGAGTGCTCACATGTCCTTGTCATACCTGTCTAATTCTCCCTTTTCTCTGCTACATTTGATGAATTAACTGGATTTCCTGTGGATCTACAAAAGGCAGACAAGAGCTGTGGACTTCCAGTAATGTGATGCACTTGCAAAAATATCCATTGTAAAGGGGCTTACTGATGGTCTCTAGTGACAGCCAGGCTTCACTTATTAGATAATACCCGTTTAGGGGCTGGAGAGATGGCTCAGTAGTTAGGAGCACTTGCTGCTCTTTTGGAGGACTCACATTTGGTTGCTAGTACCCTTGAAGTTCACAACAGTCTGTAACTCCTGTTTCAGAGGATCCAATGTCCTTTTCTGGCCTTCAAGGGCACTAGGTATGCACATACTGCAGGCAAAACACTCATGCACATAAAATACTTTTTTTTTTTTTTAAAGCAAGAGGTTGGAAAAGCAAGTATACATTTGGACTGCTCTGAAGTAGATGGTTGTTGATCTGTAGTGTTAGGGATTGAGTTTGGTCTTCATCTAGTATAGACAAATATTCTACCAACTGACAAAACTCCCAGCTAGTATTGTGTTTTTGAAGTAAGTAAACACAGGTGCATGGAAAAAAGCAGTAAGAAATGTAAACTGGTGTAAGCTTTTCAAGGCTCTGGATTACTTAAATTGTCATTAGACTATTCTCTAGACAATGGAAAGCTAACATTGTTTTTTGAGGCGTGAAACCGACTGTTTTAAAATGTGTTTACTATTAGCAGTTGTGGGCACTATGGTGCTGCCTCTGCAATCACAACACTCAGGAAGTGAAGCAGGAAGATTGTCATGAGCTCCCAGGACAGACTAGGACACAGCATGAGACCCTATCTCAACCAAAACCCAGCATATGTCACTAATCCCAGTATTCCAGGATGGCACTGCAAGAAAAGCTACATGCCACCACGTTTGAAGATCCTAGTTTGATTCCCAAGACCGATACTATAGAAGAACCCACTTCAATAAGCTGTCTCTCACCTCCATACATGTCCTGTGTACACAAGTGGGTACAAATAAAGGCAATACATCTTTTTAAGTATGTAGCTCAGCTGGTACAATATGTCCACAAGTGCCTAGCCTGGATTGCCAGAACTTTCTCATCCTAGGTGGAAACTGCTCCCATCAAACAGTGGTCTTTCCTCCATTCCTGTCTCCCTGCAGTCCCTAGCTACCAGTTCTCTATGTTACCTCTCAGACCTGACAGCTGAGGTTTGCAAGGTAAGCAGAATCATATA